GTTGGGACCCTAGGGCGTTTGCACGAACTGCGTACATGTCCCAGTTCACCGTAATTCCAGCACCTGATAGTCTTCGTCTTTATCTTTCTGTCAGTAAGGCTCTTCATCATATTCACCAGTTGATCGAGTTTACCTTCCTCTTCTTCCTCTTTTAAGGTCCTCACTTTATTGTATCCACTATAGGCTTGTGTAGCTGCCTCATATTCAAGGGCAGCGGACAAGACATCGACCAATGTTTTGTGACTGGCTAGACGAAGTGTTTTTTGCATCTCGTGGTCACGAAGTCCATCAACAAATGTTTGGATTGCCAAACATTCCATCATGTTTTCTGGAGCTGATGGGTAGGCAAATCGCACCAACCTGGCAATATCTACTTCATATTCTTGTTTCTGTTTACGATTCTTTAATTGTGACTGGTATAAATGCTCCAAGTATTCGTGGCCATATCACATATTTAGTCTCTTTTGAGTTTTTTAAAATCATCTGTCTCTTCCACGGGTATAGTCTGAAGGACATCCAAAGCGTCTCCTCGAAGGGCGATGGTCAAATTTATTGCCTTCTCTCGTACAGACCACTCGTTTGCTCTAGCAGCTGTTTCGAACTGCTTCAGGTAGTTCGTCCAAGACATCTTCCCGTCAAAAGTTGGGGCTTTAACACGAGGAGAGTTTACAGCTCCTTCCAATTTCAACTTCGACTCCATCTCATGGCACTTAATTTCAACGTCCTTGGCCGGGTCTGAATGTTCCAGTTCTTCTATCTTCTTTTCCATTTCTTTTATTTTCTCCTCAACGGAAGTCATTATTTTCTCTTCAACGTAAGAAATTTTATTTTCCGTAGAAGAAATTTAGTTTTTCATAGAAGTCATATCAGACGAGATTTCATCTTTTAAAGAAGAGATTTTGTTTTCCAAATCGGAAGAAATTTCGGTTTTTAAAGAAGATATGTCAGAAGAAACTTTACTTTCTAAGGAGGAAATATCTGAAGAAACTTTAGTTTCTAATGAGGAAATAGAAGAAATATCGGTTTTCATGGAAGACATATCAGAAGATATTTCGATTTTTAACGAAGAGGTCTTACTTTTCATAGAAGAAATTATAGGAGACGCATTATCAGAAAATAAATACGTTTCCGGATCCAAACCTTCACTTTCCAGTGCTTCTTTAAGCCTCTCTGTGAGTTCTGCTTTCTTCCCTGTAGTCTCCAGATCACGATCCTCTAATTCTCGACGCAATTCGGCCACTTTTAAATCACACAGTTTTTTAGCCATGATTGTCCACTATTTATTTACACTATCCCACTTCTGACACCAATGTGATATTTGTTTATTTTAAACAACAGTTTATTTGTAAATAATTTATTTAAACACTTATTTATTTATAACACTACTATTCTAATTTATATATATTTCGAATGTTTTTAAACTGTTCACTATTTATATTCACCACTGTCTATCTACTACTTACTATTTATCTTCACTCTCCATATAATAACTGATACAGCGTTATTCTCCACCAATATTGATAAACCAATAAACAGCTTAAAATTCAAAAATGAACTGTCCATACTTTACACCCGAGATGACTTTGTTCAACACAATGGGGCCGTACCGTTATTACAAATGTTTTTTGAGAACAATTTAACAATTACATTTTCGGAATCTGTGGAGCTGCTAACTATCCTGTGTACAATTCCCATGACCACAGTGGAGAGTGAAAGATGTTTTTCGGTACTAAAACGTATTAAAACATTTTTAAGGAACACTTTGTGCCAAGATAGATTGTGCGCATTAGCCATGTTATTCATCGGAAAAAAACTTATGCGGTCCATTCCAAATTTTAATAATCTGGTCATCGATCACATCGCTAGCCAAAAATCCAGAAGAATGGACTTCAACTATAAGAAATAGTATACAACTGCAGCGGTACCTAGCAGTTAGTCTTCAATTTTGTAATATTTAATTTGTTTTGATATATATTTAATTTTCATTAAGCGGAGAACTTGTTTTCATAAGGGAAAAATGAATCCCGCGATTCCTTTCCAGTGTGTGCCCCACTGCCGCTAGTTCCCACGAGCCGCCACTGCTTATAGGTGACAAATGACAGGCGCGCGAAAATTAATTTGAATCGCAAATACTCTATTCACCCGTATAATAAATATGTAAGTCAGTCTGACATTCTCAATTTTAATTTTAATAATAATTTTAATTAATTTTAATGTTACTTCAATACCACCTACGATTACCACTTTATAAATCTGCAATTACTTTTATTTGCTAACGTTGAAAACCCATTTCTAAACCAGCTTTGCTATAAATACTACATCAAAAGATTTGTTGTCTTGTGTGTATATCTGTTGGAGATAGGTGGCGAATTCGGTCCGTGGCCGATATAATTGGACATATCGCCATACCAGACATGCCAGTTGCCGAAATTCGCCATCTGACTAACTTAATTTAGCCATGTTGCGAAGTGCACATTTGTATAATACGAGGTTGTCGATTGAATCACAAATAAATAACCTAACCCCAAATTACCACCATATTAACTATTGAACAATATTCAAATATTTTAAATCAAGTAACGAATAGCACGACTAAGAAAGAAATCAATGAAAAACTAAGTTGTCAAGCTCATAAACGTCTAAATAGATTTGAGTTTATAAAGATAAGTGAAAAAGAAAACCTTATTGCGAAACGTAACAACAATGACATTGGGTGGTATGATTGAACGTTTACGTTATCCGTAACGTACATGTTAGGCCGAGTTTTAACAGCAAAGAGACAAATTCGTATGATGTAAAGTCTTTCATAACATATTACTGTTATTTTCCGCCTGTTATGTTCTAATTTAACAGGTTTCCATCATACGAACTTGCCTCGTTACTTTTAAAATTCGGCCTAACATATACGTTACGGATAACATAAACGTTCAATCATAGGACCCAATGGGTCCTATGATTGAACGTTTATGTTATCCGTAACGTACATGTTAGGCCGAGTTTTAACAGTAATGAGGCAAGTTCGTATGATGGAAAACTTTTTCCAACACGTTACTGTTATTTTCCGCCTGTTATCTTCTAATTTAACAGTTTTCCATCATCCGAACTTGCCTCGTTACTTTTAAAATTCGGCCTAACATGTACGTTACGGATAACGTAAACGTTCAATCATAGGACCCATTGTTTCAACACGGTATTATTGGAATGTTAGTGAGGTACATGGCATTTTGAAGAAAGCTCACAGGGATACTGGCCATATAATAAGATTAAATATGGAAAAATAAATTGCTAAAAAGTATTGTAATGATCTCAGAAGCGTCATTGAAGAACACAAAGCAGAAAGGGTTGGTATTAAAACCAATAATTTTAATAGGATTTAACGAAAGAGGGCAAACTGACTTAACTGGTCTCTATAAGTTACCTATGAGTTATCAAGATCACAACAAAATTTGTGTTCCTCAAAGCTTTAAAATCTAAACGTACCGAAAAAGTTGCATAGAATCTGATGGATATTTTTTGTATTACCGGGGTCCCTTATCTACTGCATAGTGACAATGACAGAGAGTTTTTAAATTAAATAATAAATAGTATAGCAGATATGTTTCAAGCAAAAATAATTAATGGCAAGCCACGCCACAAAGCCAGAGATCTATTGAGAAGGCAAAGTAAGATGTACGAGATATTTTAATTACTTGAATGTAAGAAAATCAGACATCCAAATGCTCAGAGAGATTGATATTTGTGCAATTTAAAAAGAACCGAGCATTCAGCGTACTTCATACGAGGCACTCTACTTATTAATGGTTTGACTGATTTAAATCTTGCACTTGAAATTGTAGAGCAGTAACAAGAAGAGGAAGATAATATCTATAGACTCCAAAATACTGTAAGCGAAAATTTGGAAGACACATTATCTGATGAACCCGACAGAGGATTACTGAATAAAGATAACGATGGAAGCAGCAATAATTTAACAAATGATAGAGACGAAACCAGAAAGTTACGGTGTCCAAGAACATCTACTGAGGTAATTAAATAATTAAATGTTTTGTTTTAGAGAGAATGAAGCTCGATTAAAATTAATAAATCAACATCGCTTTGAAAGCGTTAATATCTTAAAGAAAATAGACAACATAAATGTTACAACAAAGTTGCCACAAAATTTCCTAAAATTGAAACTGGACGGTACGTTTTAGTTGAGATTCCTGATGTCGACAGAGGAGGCTTAGCTCCTCGTAATGTTTTGGCTGTTGCATTGTCTGAAAAAGATGGTTTGTACCTATTGTACCAACTTGGTACATCAACTGGCGTTTTGGAAAAACTATATGCAAGGAATGAATTTCAGGTCGTTAGTAAATATAATTGGATTTATAAATGTTTTTAATATTATTTTTCACTTACAGCTTCCTCAATCCAATATATTGATTTCATCAGATGTAGATGTTCATATAAAATTCAGTTTGCCGACAATCGCAGCAACATAATTTAATTCTTCACAGGGTTTTGTACAGTGTAACTGTCGTAAATCATGTGGTGACAAAAAATGTACATGTGTAACAAAAAAGATAAAATGTAATAGTAAATGTCATTCATGTACTTCTTGTCGCAATAAATAATTATACATTATTTGTTTAGTTTAAAATAATCGCTTTTGTTTGATTCGGCATCGGCTTATGACGTGTCGTATGTAGGTCTTTCGGAATGTGTCCAAATTATGTTATCCAGATGCCGAATTGTATTACTGTTTCGGCATCTGGTATGTCTAGTATGGACATACAGCAATATGTCCAATTATAGGGGCCGAATTCGCCACCTGTCTCCATCATATTCATCCTTTTATTTCACTTAGTGCTGATTTTGCTTTGCAAAATGTATTTTTATCTTTTTAATAAAAAAAAAAGAATATATATATATATATGGTCGGATTTTGTGTTTTCCTTATCTCATTCGAAGATGACCATATTTGAGAAGTTGTTTTAAAAAAATTATCTTTAATTTTTCAGTATTCTGCCAAAGAGTGCCTCCTAAATGGAGCGAAAAATCACATGTAGTTAAAGGAGCACTGTACCTTCCATATGCAGAAATCAAAGAACCATTCGAAGCCTGGTAATTAAATGTTATTGGGGTCTATTCTGTAAAACATCCGTTAAAATTTAAAGGCCTTTAAAAATTTAAATTTTACCGGCCCGTTAATTTTTTTAACCAAAAATGGTATTCTGTATATAGATAAATTTTAGAGGCCTGTTAAAAATTATTTATTTTAACGGAGTCCCTTAAAACTGACAGGAGAACACTTGAAAACATTGCATTTAAGATTTATTTGAACTAATTTTGAAGGATTAAAAATAAAAAATGTCTCGCGCCCCAAGAACTACTAAAAACCAAAAAGAGTTGATGATAAACTTCTTAGAACAGTAAAATTTGCATCACGGTGGGAAAATAAACCTAGTAGATACAACGAAATAAAAAAAAGTTTGGGCAAACGAATTAAATAAAATTGGGCCCAGACATCTTCTAGGAAAATTATATTTGTCAGGAAATCTGTTTATTATATTACTTCTTTTATTTTCCAAATCAAGAAATACAAATTAGGTAACAGGTTATTGTAAATTATATTTGTTACTTCATCAATACTTCTACTCATAATTGATTGACTTAAAGCAAAACGATCCCTGTCCTACAGATAGTTGATATCCTTATCCATCCTCCTGTTCCAAAAAAATGAGTTGCAAGTACTTTTAAATATGCTGGTATTGCCGTATTTCTTTGAGATGGCCCCATGTGTGGTTATACAGTATGGTTCAAATGAAAGGAATAAATTCATTATAATGGAAGTAGTTGGTTTTTCGAAAAAATGCTCAGACTGGTCAATTTTGTTTACTTAAAGCGCAATTTTTTAAATAAAATTAAATTTTCCCCCACTTCCCATTTTTGGGCAGTGACGTCATTGACAATTTTTTTAAATAGCAACCCAAATTTTTTTTTCTTGATTTTGATAGATCTTGCAATTTCCTACTCGGAAACATAATATTTGAAATATCTGACATAACAATTTTTTTTGAAAAAAAGTCATTTAAAGATCAGATACATAAATTTTATTTTATTTTAGATTAAGCATTTAATTACAAATAATTATCTTTTATTCATTTATTGTGTTCTCAATATAAAATAAAATTTATATGTATGATCTTTAAATGTCTTCTATTAAAAAAAAATTGTTATGTAAGATATTTCAAATATTATGTTTCCGAGTAGGAAATTGCAGGATCTATCAAAATCAAGAAAAAAAAAATTGAGGTTCCTATTTAAAAAAATTGCCAATGACGTCACTGCCCAAAAATTGAATTCTATTTAAAAAAATTGCGCTTTGAGTAAACAAAATTGACCTGTCCAAGCATTTTTTCGAAAAACCAGCTACTTCCATTATAATGAATTTATTCCTTTCATTTGAACCATACTGTATAATATTACCTTTAGTTCTATCTACAACTATAAAAACCGAAAAATATTTTTACATTTGGTAACTGAGATGGATCGCTAAAGTCAGTAAAATTGACCTTTGATGTAATTGAAATTCAGCTACGAAATATTAATTGTAATATATTATGTTTTGTACTTTATTATAGCTTTCTTCACTTTCCAATAACTCTTCAAAATTTTTCCAATTATAATATTATAAAACGTCATTAAAGGTGAATTATAACATGCCTTTAAAAATGATTATTATTAGAGGACTATTTTAAAGGAATCCGTTTAAATAATGACAGAAGTCAATTAGCGAATACGAATATATTTTTAAAGGCCGCCAATATTTAAACGGCCCTTAAAATATAAAGGAATTGTTACAGAATAGACCCACTGATCTGTAATACAGATCAGTGAATAGACCTCATTATCTGATATTTTTACTCCATAGACCAATAACAGTTTTTCAGTAGTCAGTAGTGTAACTATGTGTATTATTTTCTTAGGTATGACACTAGAACTAACAACTCGCGTATTGATTTTTACAACGGATTAGCTAAAACCTATCAACTTGGAGAACATGGATTCGGTACAAGTCTAAAAGTGGTCCCTTTTACCACCGAAGAAGTTCTTAATAAGATCACGTGTTTCCAAGTTAATGGTACTGAAGACGACCCGGTTACACCTCAAGCAATTTTGCCTTCATTGGATGATTTTACATTTGCAGGTAATATTGATACAAACATTGTGGATAATTATAGATTAAAAAATAATTGTAATAAATAAAATAAAAAAGTACCGATGATGTCCAATATAAATATTCACTAGGTGATAATGATCATATATGGCTTCAGAAAAAATACTTGAATTTTAGATACTTTTTCTATTATTAGTTTTTGTGCTTCAGGAGAAGAAGAAATTGATGGAAAACATGCTGAAAAATGGACTCTTACTGTTGTAGAAGGAGAAAAGAAAAATGTTTATACAATGTGGGTTGGCAAACATCACCATGGCCATCCAGTTCCAATCAAGTATGTTAATGATAGCATTTTATATAATGTAACAAATTACTTTTTAAACAATGTATTCAATTAGGTTTATTCAGTATTTTTGTTTTTTGTATAACATTCTTAGCGAAAGTACAGATTATTTATTAATGCCGTAATTCAAAGAATTATAGTTCAGATAATCAGAAATAATTGACTAGAGAAGGCAGCTCCGAAATCTAGCTTTTCTATAATTACCAGTTCTAGATCTTTAATCAAAGCTGATCTGGGTAGTGCTGGGATATTAGAGGAAAGTTCAAAAAAGTAGATAATATTAAAAAAAACCTATAGAATAATGATAGATGATCAACTACATGCCGATGAGCGAGATGAGTATGGTTTCTTCTGAACAAATGGTATTAAGATCAAACAGTATTGAAGAGGTGGCTCTATAAATGTGTGATTATTAGTGCCAGGAGGATACGTGGGAAAAATATTTCCTTGCCGTAAAGAAAAATCATAGCTTTTCATCAGCACCAATTTATGACACACGATTATGCCAGATAATGTAAGTGTTCTTCTTACTCAACAGTCTCTTCTTCTTCTTCATCGTCATCTCAGAAACTTTTCTTCTAAACATGTAGATCCTTAAATTAAAGGTCTATCAACTTGCCAATCGTATATATTAGGCTAAAACCTTTTGAATCCTACCATTCAATCGGCATGACGTGAGAAGTTACATATTAAACATCACTTTAACACTATCAATTTCATGAGAAGATATGAGAAAGTGCTATAAATTTGCCAGTTAAGTACATGACAAGACAGAATCTAACCGATCATTGTTAACTTCGCATCAAGATGAATTTGCCAACAGTAGGCTGACTGATGATGTGACAAATTAGAGAAGAGGTTCCTTTACAATTTTTCCACTTGATAAACATGAGAAACAGAAAAACCATACGAGGAGGATGTAGATAATAAAGCAGTACTGCACTGGCTTCTCGTCACTATCCCCATCTTGCCCCTACAGTATTCCTGATATTTTCGTTTTGCAATTTTTTTCTCTGGATTTTCATCACTATCTAGCTATGCTTTTGTTGAAACTATATCACTATAATAGTCTATTCTCTTTATGCTCAAAATGCTTAGAAGCTATTTCCAAAGTAACTCTGCACTTTTAAGTGTTATTAAAAAAAGACAATTGTTTGATTAAATTTTAGTTTAAACAAATAATATCTTATCGGATAATGAAAAATTGCGTAAATTTAAAATAGGTGGTGTGAAAACACAAAACAATGTGTTTCAATGTTTGATAAATAACAATAATTGGTAATCTAATCAATACGTTTTTTGTTCTAAATAAATTACAATTCAATTTCAATTACTTTGAATACAAATTATTTTTGTTTTACGTCAATAATAGTCAATATTGTTGAATGTATATTTATTTTAGAATATAAACCAACAAATCTGTAAAATTACTGAAATCTAATACAAAAGAGAGCAATAACCATAATAGAAAGTGGAGTTTCCATACAAGCTATAAGCATTCTTATGAAGAATGGCTAATATAATCAATTTGATTATATTTTACCTATGTTCGCAGGACCGTAGCAGTTCCCTGTATATTTGTATTAATAGTAATAGCAAATCAACTGTATTATAACAGATCATATTAAAGCATAATTATTTATTTTTTTTTATAAATTTCGCCGATTTAATTTACCTATGTTCCAGCATGGCTAAATTGTGATATGCGTATACTCACTCCAATTAGTACAGCAGTCTTGTGTAGAGTTGGCCCACTATTTGAAAGGTATCTTAAAACTCTTTGAAGACTCTTTAAAGTAGCGAGTGAAGTCTATAAATTTTTTTATTAAAAAATTGAATAATTGTTTTCATTGAAAGACATATTGCAGTTTCAAGATCATTGCAAGAGCTTTCGCCATCTATTAATTTACATAACAAGTAAAAGAAGCAGGATTTTATTTCAAAGGTAACTGTAAATTTGTCTTTTCGGCAATTTGTCTAAGGTTTGCAACTATTTCGTCAATATTTGTCGTATTGCTCTCTTTATGCGTTGATAACTTCAAGCAGCTCAGATTTTTGATAGGAGTCGCCAAAAAAATGTTTTTTTAAAAACAATTTTTTTTATTTTGGGTTTGTTTCATGAGGTAGCTGGAAAAATAAATTTAGAGGAATTATATGAAGTGTTATCCATAACAACAATGTTCTTTCGTCTAATTTTGGGTAAGTTAGGAATTAGCTACTCGTCAAACAATTGCTCAAATTAGTTGGCGTTCATTTCGTCATGATAATTTCCATCGTTTATCTTTGCCAAGAAAACACGCGTGATGCTAGGTAAAAATCCACTCTCATATCCAGCATAAACAATAACGAAACGTGGGCCTCTTTATGTAAGTGCTTTGATGCTTGTTGTTAAATCTTTTATGAAAGCATCTGCCCCACTCATTTTGAAAGCACGACTTACCGTTGCAGTCACACTCAATTTATTGTCATTGATTAACTAGCAAATCATATTAAAAATCACAATTTTAAATATACGTATACAATATGAATTCTTAGGCTAGTGCCCCATTAGGCAGAAGTTTAGCCACCGAAAATGAGCCGCAGATCTTTGTGTAGTAAATTCAAATACTAGGCGTTTCAACTGGTTAAATATACTTTATTTTTAAAGTAAGTAGGTAAAAAATACATATTGTCTTATTAATTTATTCTGCTGCCATAAGTTCCAGTTCAAAATCAGGCGCTCCGGTAAATCCATTCATATTGTCGTCGATGTTCGTGCTAGTTATAAGTTCATAAAATTGAATGCAATCGTTCGGAATTAATTAACTTTGAATTTGTTTTTCTGATATCAATTTTAGCATACGTGTTGTCGTCAAAATTTGTTTTTCAGAAAAATTGAAAATTGTTTTTTTAAACAGCTAACATTTTTATTCTCACATTTTTCTATTTATTATCTTAAAATACGAATTACCTGACCAAAGCTTGGGCTTTCCTTCTTCCATCCAATAGCTTTTGTGATAAGAAGAATTCTTTAAAAAATGCTAATAGTATCATTTATATTGTATCACAGTACTTCACACATACTCTCACAGAGAACCAAATAACGAACTGTCACCAACGCTCTTGCTATTATGTAGAAAGCAACCAAGCCGTTTGGATTGCTTCTGCAGGCAGGTTACTTGCTTAACCAATTCAGTAGTTGGTCCATTGGCTAGCAAATAATGCTAGCTACCAGAATGTGGCCTGGACCTTTTTTTGCAGTAAAAGGTTCTTAATGCAATATTATTTGAATGTCTAAAAATCACGAATTTGTAGGTTGCTTTCTTTCTGCAGAAAGCTGTCCAATTAGACATCAAGAAGGACAAACGGTCCTCATATATGCAACCAAGAATACATGCTCTAATTTCATTGACTGCTACTGAGCCGACCCTGTCACAGCTATCGGAAAGACGGCAACACAGTGTGCCGGTCACCCATTAGAAATACTGTAATGAAGTCATTTTTCATTACCATTTTTTTTATTCAATTGCCAAGTTAGTATTCTTAATAATGATTTTAAATCTAACTTTCATTAGAATCCTGCATATCAATTTAATAAAATTAATTATTCGTTGCTATTTTAATTTATAAATCAACTTTTTGGCTTCACCCTGTATCTATTATTTTGAAATATATAATAATCCGAAAATCCATTGTACTTTCACAATATAGCAATGGTTTTCAAAAGTCATTTTAAATCAGGGTTTTAAATTAATATTATAGAAAATTGTAGATTTGGGAATTTATCCTTTTTAATATTTTAAACGAGCACGAACCTTAGCACCCAGCACCGTACCCCTTCTCGAATACCTTCTCCCTCTTAAGTTGATCATGCGCGGGGCATTGGTAAATATTTTTCGACTCGAGATCGAGGACAGCGAGAGAGAAAATTTTAATTCCATTCCGAGCGATCGAAAGAGTCAGTCGATAACTGTAATACCCGCGCCGCAAGCCAAAACCGTTTTGTTTACCGCAGTAAACACAAAAACCCCGTTTTGATTTTTTGCCGTAGAATCGAGATTTAGTTAGAAAATAAAACCGATTTAAATTAGGTAGATTTAAAAACCTTTTGAGATTTACATTTCAACACGTAAATAATTTTGTTTGAAAATTCCGAAATTTAATAATTAAATTAACAGTCGAATAATTTTTTTTTGTTTGGATATTGGCCATGTTTATTTTTTTTTATTTTCTTCGAACTGTGAGAACTGCTTCAGATATAAATCGACTTTGAAAATAGAATTATTAAATAAGTAAATTGGGAAAAGATAGGAATTAGAGTGTTTTTTCTTTTCGTTTTTTTTTTTAAATTTAGATAGACTTTAAAAAAATTGATTTATTAAATTCCTAACCGTGGGAAATACGGGAACTGAATATTGTTCTTTTTTTTATTTGTTTAGTTTGACTGTCCGGGATTTTGTTCTACCGAATGAAAGGGTCTCATTTCCTGTTTTGAATATAAAAATCTCCGTTCTTTTATTTTTCCTTCCTGTCAATTTCCAAATAACTCAGTGAGGGCTTAAAGTTCCCTGCGTTAGTTTTCCTTCCTGTCTATTCCCAAATAACTTAGTGAGGGTTTAAAGTTCCCTGTGTTATTTTCCTTCCTAGATATCCGCAATTAACTTAGTAAGGGCTTAAGGTTCCCTGTGTTATTTTCCTTCCTGGCTGTCCCTGTATGACCTGGGGTTATAATATTAAATAATAATAAGAGGTAGTGTGATTTTGATTCAGCGTAGCTTGCTCGTTGGCTTCAGGGGTTTAAAAAACAAACATTTAAAAAATATTTCAAGTGGTCCTCACGAGTTTCAGAAGTGCCGCAGTTTAAATTTTTAAAATTCATACTATCCTGGATTTACATTTAGATATTTCTTTGCGATTTAAGAAAGTTACTGTAAATATGGAATTTTTAAAATTCATACTATCATTGATTTAAATTTTGATTTTTCTTTGCGATTTATGAAAATTACCGTAAATTTAAAATTTTTAAATTCCTACTATCCGAGATTTAAATTTTGACCTTAGTCTGAGATTAACGAATACAATTTTTTTTTATATACGCGACCCCTTCACCGTATCCAGTTTAAGCAGTCTGATTGAGAATACCTGCCAACTATATCAGCCGTTCGTTCCCGTTTTGTTTTTATTTTAATTTTTTTGTTCAGGGTTTCATAACCAAGAGGGTTGGCGTTGAAATATTTTATTTAATTTTAATTGTAAATAGTTAAATCAATATATGTGTCAACGTTACCTTGACTATTACTGAGGTTACTAATCCCCAATTTACTTCCCCCTTACTTTTCAGCAGTGAGAAATTCTTTACAATCACAAGTGATGGTTAACGCCCGTTACTTGTAGCTACTAGTTACCTAAGTCTAGGTGACCTTTGACCTCTGGAATTTTTCATCTATATCTGTGCTGCCCGAGTACTTTCGACGCCGTTTCGAAAGTTTGTGGAGTAAACCACATATTAAATCTAGCGCCCGAGAGCCGTTCCGTAAACAAGCGCCACTTGTACGAAAGCGTTTTCTCTGAGGCGAGAAAATCCCTTGCAATACATAGCCTATGTCTGGTCATACTGCATTCTCAATGTGTCCCGAACTATAGGCTTAGTCACTGTTAATATTTATATTATTTAAGTATCCTCTTATTTTTATTAATTCCTAATTAGTTTAGTAAAATAGTGGAAGAAAGGCCTTACCCGTGCTAGACACTAAAAAGGATTATACCCAATTCCGGCTTTGGGTAATACAAATCAATAATATGCTTTGTCTTTTGTATTTCTCATTTGCCAATAAAAGATTTTTATTATTTATAATTATTACTATCATATTGTACAATTGAATTTAAATTATTAAATTGAACTTAACTATACTTATTAACTCCCATGTTTTTCTGATGTAAGCTTCTGTCCAGGGATGTTTAGAGATTTTTGATTATCGATTTGTTTACTTTTTTAGATATGATATGATGGGTTACAACACATTACTTGGTAGCCACTATGATCATTATTATGTAGATTATTATTTTTACGAACACAGGAGAATTTCAAGGGAAACATTTAATGCCGAAGTTCATGGTAAGTTAAGTATATATTGTTTCTACGACTACTATTCAAAAGAATATTTTTTGCGTCAATTATCATTTGCAAAGTGAACAACTCCTCCCAAAATCAGGTTCTTATATTTTAAAGAACGTTCTTATAACCGGTTTTTTATGATCCAATTTTTAATATAAATATTTTTTTCTCCTTACGCATTGAAGATGCTAGATATCATGTAACATTAAATACAACCTGTTGAAGTTGAATTCGTCGTTACGCTTAATATTGTATAAAATATACACTCTTTCATTCTCGATTTTTTTACTACTCCTGAAGACGTCTCTGTAAGCGGTACTGCCTTGGTCGATCAGAAAGGTCTCCCAACAAATAACTACGTCATAGGCATCATTTACTTCTTGTCCATTTCTCATTGGTTACCGCCATACGCAACATCTACTTTTATAGTTGGCGCCACAGGCGTTATCCACTTCTTATTGGTCAACGTCAAGCGTGACTCTCAAGTTGGCTCTTCCGCGCCTTCGAGCACAATCAGAACATAAAAAAAACTGTCAAACAAAACACAGCGTTTTGTGGTATTAAAAAAAGGTGACGCTTCGTTCGTCATCATGTAACATAACTCTAATACCTTAAAAATGGCTTAAGTAACAAATTTCCTAAATAAATACTGTAAATAATGTAAAAAGTATTTAGTCTTAGGTGTTAAATACTGTAAATAATGTAAAAAGTATTTAGTCTTAGGTGCACCATGAAATGAAAAATAAAATCATCCCATTAATGTTTAAAATAAAGTTTTTAATCAGAAGTTGATCTTTAAATTTAAGTTCTTCATCTCCCTGACCTATGGATCGCACAGGTATTTTCATAATTCATTATTAATTAATACAGTTCATGATTTTGTCAAGGGCCGAATGTCGGTTCTAGTTTGGACAATTAAATATATTATTAAAAGTTAAACGAATTAAAATTATTGTTTTTAAATGACTTATCACTAGACGTCACGCTTTTGGCGTGGCAGCCACGCTTTTTGACTTGCCTGCACGCTTTTTATGCAAATTCCACGCTTTTTAAAAGCCGCAGAGGAATTGGATTTATACAAAAATAGAAGTGTTGACAAAAAATGGACCTGATTATATCAAAATGCCCTATCTACTCGTTTTACGAAAAATAAGTCGAGGACCTTCTTTTTTAGAAATAGTCAGAAAATTTGGATCTGATTATATAAAAGTGTTCTATCGTCACGGTTGCCACGCTTTTCACTTCCGGAAATGTGGTAACCCTACTTATCACCCTGTATAGCAACTGTTTTAATAATTTTTCTCGGAAACAATGTTTAAATTCTAATTAATTAAGGAACAAAATAAAGAATGTCTACTTGCTTGCGTTCGGCTGATCGAAATTTAAGTATTCCCGTTTTCTCTTGGCTATTGCGACGGGCGTAATGTGGTTACCGATGACTCCAGTAACGGTGGTCTCCTAATTTGCTGACTCTAACAATATTATCTACTGATATCCCTATAGAGTTGCTAAGGTAACATAATATGCATTAGAGGATAGTATGATATATATCCACGTGTAGATAAGAGATAAAGGATAGAACTTAAAATCAGTACGGGAAGATTTCTTAGGCATATAGACATTTAGAACTAAGACAATCTAAAGTATTGTTTATTAAATTGGAAATAAATATTACTGAGTTAAAATCTCTTTTCCTACGTAGACTAACCATCTCATATCTTGTCAGTAGTTCAACTCAAGGAGTTCATTACAACTGGTTATATGCTGATTTGAAACTTAAAAATTAAAAAAACCTTTTTTATACAGATTCAAGTCATCTCAATACATGAGATTATTAATATCCAAATTAAAGATGCGTATTTCAAATTGGAAGTAACAAAATTGTCTTAAAAGTTGACAATTGTTGACTTAAAATGAAACCATACATTTCATATGCTTTCCTGACGGTAACATATATGTGAGAAACAAATGAGAATTTTGGTGATTCTTAAATCACAGAAGTAACTGAACGTTGAATACTACAAGAAAATATTGTGTTATGGCAAGTTAATGATCTTTAAATGTATGTACTGATATGGAAACACTGTTCAACCAGACACTCCTTACGAAGAAGAATCTCTCTTGGGTTCTATGAATCGTCCTATAAATTAATAATTTTGATTAGGCTTGGCTTAAGAGATACAATTTTATAAAAATATTGTTTGTCCTTTCTTTTCTGCCTTCTCATTGTTTTCAATATTGCCACCTCCTGAACTTCTGAACAGCTTTTGGCACTTTTATATCTTGTTTTTTCTTTGCTGTTGGACCACTTGGTGTCACCGCTCATCGTCCACCATTCATGAATTAATTCAATTATTAGAAACAAATATAACGTTCCGTAGTATTTTATTCAATACCACACACAATAATCCTATAACCCATCACCCTTGGAAGCCTGAGAAAGGGACAAAAGAAAGACAATGACTTGAAGGTTGATGGCCAAATATAGTGGAGCTCTTAAAGGGTACTAAACAAATACTCCACATCTTTGTAGATTTGAATATTATCCAAGGTGAGTCAAAAAGGAATAAAAATATTTTAGGAGGTGAGAGAACAATGAAAATTAAGGTCAGTTTGCTATATAAACTAATGTCCGAAACTTTGAAATAAGAAAGGAATTCAAAAGGGGACTGGAGAAACCAGTGCCCCCTCTCCCTGAGATTAAAATTATTACAATTTATGAGCCTTTTATTTAAAAAATATGCTAAAAATGGAATGGATTATGGCAATGCCTTCCACCCAGCTACCCCCCCCCCGAAAATTCGACCTGCAGTCGCCCTTGATTGCGAATATGGCTATTTGTCTCATGCTGACCTTTGGGTTTTGCTTAAAAATATTTATAATTTGTTCTTCGGCTTCTACTGTTCTGTCAATTCGTGGTCGACCTGTCTTATTTTTTACTTTCAATTTTCCTGTTTTCCTAAGTCACCTTTCACCGCTAAGAAATATCCCCAAATTTGGTACATTTCGAAGAGGAAATTTTTCTGCATATCTTCTGCAGCATTAGCATTTTTCAGACATTCACCCAACGTACGTAACATGTCGGTATACTCGTCAAACGTTTACATGTCTTAACAAAAATAATACTAGCACCACTGAATAGGTAAACAATTGTTCATCTATTATGTGTTAACATGAATAAAACACCGTATTGTCACTTTTCAAAATTGTGACTTACTTTGATAGTGGCATTCAAACGACCTGCCAAAATGTTGACAAGTTGGATCTGACGTTTAGATATGGCAACCCTGTGGCCTGTTGTCATTGACAGGGCTAATGATACATATATAGATATAGTATATAGATTGCTCAAAGCGGGTCGTTTTGCGAGCGACCATATTGCCTCCTAAGTGCTCATTAATCAGAATTAGTTCAGCAAAAAAGTGTTTTCGTACCTTTTTTGTCAAATATTAGTATTTTAACATAATTTTGGTGGAAATATGACAATTTTGACAATACTGCGCCATAAGTTCTCTTGTAACCTCTGGCAACACTGGCTGGAGCGTGCCGATTTTCTTTTGTTTTATCGGTTAGGTCCGATTGACTGTCGAAGTAATAATAGGTAATGACCTTTAAGATTTGTTGACTAATAAGGATTGCCACATTACGCAAATCTGTACGCGAATATGTAAACATTTTATGTGCTATTTTGACGTCTTGAGTTTGATGTTATGTTTGTTTTTAGCAAGTAATTGCATTAAACTTTATACAAATCAAATAAGAAGTAGGTACTTAATTATTAAAAAAAAATAAAAATTAAATTTAGGGAAAGTTATCTTTTTTGTTTTTTGGTTTTCTCAGGTATACATTAATGCCAAAACATCGACGCCCCTTTGGGGCTTTTCGCCCCTAGGCAATTGCCTATTGTGCCTAGTTGTGAATTTGGCTCTGAATGTTATTAAAGCATCTACTGTGCAGTTACATTTTAAAAGTCAAATTTTTTAAAATCGGTTCACTTTATCGCATTTAAACATGAATGACTTTTTTGTAGAAAAACTATGGAAATTGCTTTTTTTAAACAATTTTTCGGAAGAGATAAAATTAAAAAATAGGGTTAAGAATACATAATCCATCCCCTTAAACTAACTCTCTAACCCACAGGTGGCAGCGCTTTTGACAAGTTGAAGTTCTTTTTGTTTAATGAATAATCCTTATAGTTTCCTATCCCCAAAGTTCTTTGATATATTCGCACAATATTTCTAGAAGAATAAAAAATATATATGTAGGTAGCTAAATAATTTTTATTCAAACCACACAGGGCTGCCGAGAGCCGTGCTGAGGCCCCCTAGCAAAACACTGGTAAGGCCCCCCCCACTCCACATATTATAACCTATTTTTTTTAAAGCTGCCGGCCCCCCTGGGCCCGGGCTCTGGGGATTTCCCCCCAACCCCTCCCACTCTTCGGGTCTGAAACCACACTGGATCACTTTGATCATGATTAAAGTTGCCCCGTAAGGCCGATCAAAGTTACCCCACGAAGCATTTGGGAAGCTGGAGGGTCAGATTTTTTCTTTGGATCTAATCCAAAAAAGTTATTTACATATCAGATAAATCAGATGTCATATAAAAATAATAAAAATTGATCCATGATGAAAGACTAAAGATGTGTATTAGAAATTTCTGAAGCTTTATAAAATATACTCGTATTAACGTTAAAAGTAAATCTTTTTTTACCTTGTAGTACTTAAGAGAACTCACCACCATATTGTATATCAATTAAAAAATTCTATGATATGTTTAAACGCGCTTTTGCAGTAATTCAAGGAAGTAAAAGTTCAGATATAAATGTTATTAAAGATAACCTGTATTTTTCCTACCTAAATGAGCATATCTTTAGATGTTAAGTGGATGAGAGATTGGTATTATGTAAAGTTCAGTCACTTAATTTTTTCTCCTATTTCAGAAGGCTCAATTGGTTGACAATACTTGGTAATCTAGTTATTTGTTTTTTTTAGGTATAACCTGCAGGGAGTTTCCCGGACCTGGAAACCAACGTGTACACAGCTTCAATCCCATGTCCGAATTTATCCGACCAGAAAAAACTGAACATGTAGACAGTAGATTTAACGATTTCATCGAAACCCATGGAAAAGGATATGAAACTGTACATGAGCACACTCTTCGTAAAGAAATTTTCCGTCAAAATTTGAGATTCATCGAATCACATAACAGGCAAAATAAAGGTAAGAATAAAACAACATAATATGAGATTATTAATAAGCATTAGAAATTTTATAGCTTTGTGGTAAAAAAATAATTTGTCAGAAAGTAGAAACCCGATATATAAAAAAAACACATTATTCTGGAATACGCTACACTGGAGAACGAACAGTTTAAATATGTTTTTAAAGTAGGCCATTAAAAAAATAACACATGTCGAGGCGTAAAATTGTTCTTCATTTTTAAATGGCAGTTTGGATTTAATCCAGAGGCGATTATAGTTATATCACTGCTCGCACGTTTGTCAGTCATGGTCTAATTTAGAAATAGTACTTTGCAATAAGAGTGAGTATAGACAATCTACTTGGATTGTACAATATATTTTGTCTACGATCCACTAACAAAAATCTACAAATTTAAAAATATATTTTAGGTTATTAAGACAAAATAACTAATTTTAAAATAATTTATGAACTTTAAGAATTTATAAAATAAAATAAAATAAAAAAAAACATATATTTAAATAGTCCCCAGCCAGGAATGGATCTCGGACTTTTCAGACAGAAGCTTTGTTCACAGCTCCAAAATGAGTTCTTCCTCTTAATTCAAAGTTAAGTCAAATACAGAAGTATCCGTTATGATAAATGGATGACGAAATTAATCAAATTTCTTTATATCTAATTTTGGGAAATAATGAATAATTCTCTCCTCTTATATTGTCAAATAGTCAATAACAATTATTTTAATAGTTTTATAAGTCCTTTGGGACTGACTCAAACCTTTCTAAATTGTCTTCCTGAGCTTTATTCTTCCATAACGTTATTTATTTTTGGAATTCCACCAGCTTGTCGGTTGAGTTTAAGATATTTTCATTAGTCCCTTGTATACTTGAATTTATGTTATTAAAAATAACAAAAATGTCTGATAAGTAAGCCAGTTTAGTACACCATGTTTTATCTTCTAAGAAATGAACACATTCATAATTTTTATCTTGTTCAAAAAACATTTTTAATTCCAGTACACGAGATAAAACTTTTCCTCTAGATAACCACCTTACTTCCGTATGCAGTAACAATGATTCGTACTTGGCTTCTAAAGTTTGGCATAATTTACTAAATAAGCGTCTTTTTAATGGTCTTGATTTTATATAATTAACCATTTTAACACTTTGTTCCAGAACTATTTTCAATTCAGATTGCAAATATTTTGTAACAAGTGCTTCTCGATGCAAAAATAACAATGGGTAACTAATATATCCCCATTCAGTTCTTTAACAGGTGCTACAAATCTTTTTAGATGTCCAGTTACATTAAAAATATGTTTTTCAGTTGTAAAATCAGGTAACTCCCGACAACATAAAAAGTGATTAATTATTTTCTTGAATAAATCTAACGAATGCAATTAATTGAGCTTTTCCTATAATATCTGTTGTTTCGTCGGTTTGTAGAGCAAAATTTGAATTTGCAAGAGTTTTTTGCAGTATTTTGCTCAATATTTTGTGACATATCTTTAATTCTGTAATGGATTGTGTCATTCGAAAGTGGTATTTTACAAATATCAATATTTTCTGATCCACCATTCATTATTTTTACAATTTTGCGACAAGCTGTTAATATAATTTCTTCAGCTAAATTGTGAGGTTTTAATTTAACACCAATCAATTCACCTATTTCGTAAGAAGCTACTTGCGCCTTTTCAGATACACCGATTTGTTTTTCAAAAACTTTTACTTTCGTGAATTTTGAAAGTAAAGACTTTTGAAAGTAGTTTTTATTTTTTGTTGAAAGCGAAGGATTAGTCACCAAGTGACGTTGGGGTTTGCTTGGAATCATAGCACTATTTGATGATTTATAACCAAATATTACACACTCGGGAACAACTTTGTTATTTTCCATTGTCGAGGTAAATCCAAATTTCAAAAAATCATCATTTTATTTCCGACGAACAACGTATTTTTTCGAGCAAGAAGTGTTTTTAGTTGTACCGGGTGTGGGCTTATTAACTTGGTCGCTAACGTTATCATTATCACTATTATCATCGTTAAGCTTTCTTCTTTTTAACCCTTTATCGATTTTCAGGAGGCCCTGTTAAAATAAAAATATTATTGTCGAAACATTAATAAAAAAGGCGAATTAAATATTACCTTTAAATACGATTTATTCAAGTTTGAAAATACAATACTGCAAAGCCAATATGTTTACAGAATTTTATAATTTGACACTGCAAGCAAATAAATTAATATTAAACTGAATCATATACATTTGCCAATTTTAACGAAAGAAAATGTGCAGTAACTACTATGCAACGCGTTGGGGATCCCCACTCTCATTCATACTACTGTTTTGGTACGTCCTGGTGACAAGTGTGAGCCGACTTGAGGCATAAAAATCAGTTTATGGTTCTAAGGCCAGGATTATAGTGAGGCGGCGAGCAGAGCGGTGAGCAAAGCTGTTTATGCAGTGAATAAATAGCTCGGCCGCGTATTAAACCGCGCTGGTCACCGCTTCCGAAACAAACATATTTGATTCGGACTATACCGCTGCTAGTCCAGTCATTTAAGCTTAAATTAGGTAAGAATCTCGGAATTCGAGATACCCAGCTGTAAGTCTGTAAATACTTGTATATTGACACCCTAAAAGTTGTCTTAAAACCTACAATATGGTAGGGTGTACGCAACATTAAATTTCAAGGTCAAAGGTCACAAAAATCGTTTTTTTGCGCTTTTTTTTTGTAACTATCTCATTTCCTATGGGTTTTTTGCTATTTGTATTTATTATCAATATTGTGAGGAAATGGAGAAGTTCTGTAATCTCCTTAGAGTCGACCGAGCAACACGTAGATTCCAGAGACTCAAGAGTGAAAAAAGACAATACTGACGTAAATATACTATTTGATTGGTTTAAACTCCATGATCCTTTTTCAAATACTACGCAGTTAAAATCGATAGCTTCTGGAATTGTTGGAAATGGATTAGAGTCTATGAAGAATATCACCGGCTTATCATTTAATGAAATAAAGTTGAAACGTTCCAAAAAAGTAATGCCGCTTTCCAGTGTTAACAAATCTGTAAAAATAAATGATTTTAAAGTTGCAGTGGATCCATTATTACTCTTCCAAAGAATTACTGTCAGCAAACAATTTGAAAGTAATCTTGAAGAATATCTTCAATATGAATTGAGTCCGTATCCAACAGCTCTATTTGATAATGATGGCATGAGAAAAACAACAAAATCGTCATTGTATGACAATATGAGCCCAATTGATTTTGTTCTCAATGAAAATAATGTAACGTTCATTATTGATGGCGGATTTCTTCTTCATCATGTTGTATGGAGCAGAGAAGATAATTTTTCTATTATTTTTGATAAATATATGAATTATTTACAAAGGCATTACAGTTCCAAAATAATTGTTGTATTTGACGGATATTCAGACTACAGTAAGAAAGTAAAAGCTATGGAGCAGCAGAGAAGAACTGCTGCACTTTCAAAAACGTATGAAGTCTGTTTCGATAAAACAATGGTTGTACCAGTTACTCAAGAAAAACTCTTATCAAATCGAAATAACAAAAATATGCTCATTAATATGTTAATTGAAAAATAACAAGCTACCAATATTACTACTAAACAAGCTAGAGATGATGCGGATGTTCTTATTGTTGAAACTACAATTGAAGAATCAAAGTCTGCAAAAGCTGCAGTTATAATAGGACAAGATATTGATTTACTTGTCATTTTAATTGGGCGTACACTGTCTTACGAACAAGAAATTTTCTTTAAAAAAGTTGGGAAAGGAAATGTAAAAACGGAGATATATTCGACTAAAAGTTTTGGTAGTTATCCTCATTCCAAAACGCATATCATCTTATTTCTGCACACATTAAGTGGCTGTGACACAACTTCTGCGCTTTTTGAAAGGGGAAAAAAATAATTTTTAAAGGTTTTTGAGAAACTGACAAATTTGGAAGAAAATTGTTCGGCCCAGAGATTATTAGAAAGTGGAACTCAAACCTTATTAGCAGTCTATAATGCTTCGAAATCTGTGAAAAGTCTCGATCATCTTCGTTATATGCATTACGTCAAGTCTACAAAACTTAATAAACCTGTGCAGCTTTCAAATATTCCACCAACAAGTGCAGCTGCTCATCAACATTTCAAACGTGTATATTATCAAGTTCAAACTTGGTTAGGGCATGATTTGGAACCCCAGGTATGGGGTTGGGCAATGCGAAACGATTTTCTAGAGCCTATCATGACAATTTTACCACCTGCTCCAGAAGATTTGCTAAATACAATTTTCTGCAACTGCAAGAGTGGTTGTGGTTCGCGATGCGAATGCATGAAAGTGGACTTGCAATGCTCTTTAGCTTGTGGCCAATGTAATGGGCAAGCTTGTCTCAATGCTCTACCATATCAGAGCGACATTAACGAAGATGGAGCCTTTGACCCCGAAATCATGGAAGAACTTGAGACAAATGTCGTTGAAGACGATAATGAAGACCAGTTTGAAATTTACCAGCAGCCGGAAGACGACGATGAAGAGGAAGAAGATGATTAAAATTATAAATTGTAGTTTCTGTACCCTTTATTCCATTTTTTTACTTTTAATAAAAATAAATGTATTGAATGATATTTTTTAATAAAAAGATTAATTCATAATTTATTTGTTTTTTTTTTCATCATGTAAGAAGTTATTAATATTAATTAGGTTAAAATTCAAATATAATTCCTATATTTTCATTAACGATTCTGCAATTACATGGGCAGGCAAGTGTTGTTAAATAAATGAATACTGAATAAAAAGTGGATAGTTTGGGAAAAAAATGATAAAATATAATATAATAGCTAATAAAAATTGGCAAATATTTATAATCATTGATTTATCGATAGTTCATCAACTAACTATCCGAACTTGGCGTCCAAATTTGTAGGGGTGGTAGTTCGCATAATTTGAGAGTGATCGGCAGATTTCATTTTTCTAAAAAAATTCTAATATACAAAATAGAGCCATTATAAAAAAATCAAAGAGCAGGTCCTACCCTGAGCGCGTAGCTGTTTATAATTGTTAATTAATTTTTAATTATTTTTATTTTAAATATTTTGGAAAAATGAAATCTGCGAATCGGTCTCAAATTATGCGAACTACCACCCCTACAAATTTGGACGCCAAGTTCGGAAACAGTCTGTATATGGCGCGTTTTCGACCGGAGGCACCGGTTGACCAGAAGTGATGCTGTGACTGCGCGCTCTCCGCCCTCTATCTCGAAAACGGTTCACCGTATGAAAAATTTTTTTAAAAAAAATTTGTAGAGAATTTTGTATAGCAAAAACCCATAGGAAATGAGATATTTACAAAAAAAAGCGCAAAAAACCGATTTTTGTGACCTTTGACCTTGAAATTTAATAGTTGCGTACACCCTACCATATGTAGGTTTTGAGACAATTTTTAGGGTGTCAATATACAAGTATTTACAGACTTACAGCTGGGTATCTCGAATTCCGAGGTGAACTTACTATATTGACTGGACTAGGGAAGCCGGATGCATTTATTCCTATTGGTTTGAATAAACCGCTATGCTCACCCATAGACGCTCACCGCACTAAGAAAGAACACATTTTTCTTTTTAAATCATAATATTTAATAATATTAACATTATTATATATCTAAGATTTGTCGGCACACTTTTAGAATTTCGTGGCACACAAAAGTGCAGCGGTACAGTGGTTGAGAATTACTGGTTTAGAAGATATTAAGGTGTTATTTAACCATGCTGTACGCGACTAGCCAAATTTATTTAACTGATGGGTGTTTCTGATGACACCAAAAAGATTTATTCAGTATAATTTTTTTAAAAAATCTTCATAATAACATAATTTATTAAAAAGAAAACATCAAAAAATGTAAAAATATTATCCAAATAATTTTTTACCAAAGTGCGTCCAAGACCTGAATGTTGGTGGCCTAATTTATCTTACCGTAAAGGTTTTCCTTGTCTATTATAGCTACTTGCAGCTACTTTCAGCTACTTTCAGCCAGTTTCAGCCAGTTTCAGCTACTTTAAGCTACTTTCAGCTACTTTAAGCAACTTTCAGCTACTTTCAGCTACTTTCAGCTACTTTCAGCTACTTTCAGCTACTTTCAGCTACTTTCAGCTACTTTTAGCTACTTTAAGCTACTTTCAGCTACTTTCAGCGACTTTCAGCTAGTTTCGGCTACTTTCAGCTACTTTCAGCTACTTTCAGCTACTTTCAGCTACTTTTAGCTACTTTTAGCTACTTTTAGCTACTTTTAGCTACTTTCAGCTACTTTCAGCTACTTTCAGATACTTTCAGATACTTTCAGATACTTTCAGATACTTTCAGCTACTTTCAGTTACTTTCAGCTACTTTCAGTTACTTTCAGTTACTTTCAGCTACTTTCAGGTGCTTTGTGGCTGCATCCTTGTAGCTTATCCCAGTCAGAACTTTAAGATCCTGTCTGGGTCTTTATACTTTCCAGGGTGTTGCCTCAGAAGAGGAGCTGGATCGCGGTCTTTTTTTGTCCCTGCTAACGTCGTATTCCTGGCATCTTGTAAAAGCAGAACTAGCGTCGCTACCCAAAGATTGATTGGGGCCGCTTGTGTTTGGTTTGAAGTGAGAGCATATCCTATCAGAACTTTAAGATCCTGTCTGGGTCTTTATACTTTCCAGGGTGTTGCCTCAGAAGAGGAGCTGGATCGCGGTCTTTTTTTGTCCCTGCTAACGTCGTATTCCTGGCATCTTGTAAAAGCAGAACTAGCGTCGCTACCCAAAGATTGATTGGGCCGCTTGTGTTTGGTTTGAAGTGAGAGCATATCCTGTTAGTGGTAGTGGTCGTAGCTCTGTCTGCCTGCCTCTAGTTTAGCCCTTTTCCTCCTTTGTTTTAGAACCAAAAATCTTCTTGCCTTTCTGATTTCGAACAGTTTGAGGTGAACTTCGATTTCCATCTTCGACTTTTGAAGCTGGACGTCACTGTCCAGCCTCCTGCGCTGGAGTAGAATTTTGCTGTCCAGCCTCCTTTGCTAGAGGTAAGCGTTGACGTTCAGCTTCTTTGGGTTGGTATCCATATGGATTACACGAGAAACTAGGGAAAAAAGTCGACCGATGCAGAGCCACGCAAGCGCTGGAAAGGCTAAATACAATATGGTGTCGCCAGTTATACTCAGGAGAGGGTTTGTTACCGCATTTGCAACTGCGACCATTCTTCCATCGGCATGTTACCTTATACCTTTAGATTGGGGGAGTGTATCCTCGGTTGTAGCTTGCACAAAAGATTTTGAATTTTTAGGTTCTCTCACTCTATTTATATCTATCACTAACCAGAAAATCCCAGCTGTTCTCTCTCCACCAATATATTTTTTTAACTGCGTGAATATACCTTTTACAGTTAATTTTTAATATCGTCTTGATTTCGACTTGTATCGATAAATACAAATAAAATATTTTTTTTTGTGTCATCGACTTCAACTACCAGGGTTATTTCGCCTTGTGTTTTATGTAGGCTTTGTTACTGTTTCCCAGCGCCACTTTAGGAACAGCACTGTTAATTAGAACCCAACAGTGAATGGTCAAAATACAATTTATTAAATATTAAATGATTTGTCAGTTAGTGCCGAATCTGTATAGCTTATTTTCTAGGTTACACTTTGGCTGTTAACCACTTGGCTGATAAAACTGAAAATGAATTAAAAGTTCTTCGTGGAAGAGTTTCCAGCGGTGGAGATAACGGTGGCTTACCATTTTCACAGGAAAATATTGGCGGAGATGATCTTCCAGATCAATACGATTGGAGGTTGTATGGAGCAGTCACGCCAGTGAAAGGTAATGGAATAACTTATAGTCTTTTTAGACACAATCCAACATGGCATAATAACCAACTAGCGCTGCCTTCAAAGGGACTGCGCACATGGCCGTATTAAAATTAAATAAATCAAATTTATAATTGGGTATTATTTTTCCATTATCAATTGCAGAACATAAAAACTCGTTCCGAATCCTTACCAACAATCTTGTTTGATCTGCCATAGGCGAAGATAACTCATTTTATAAATTTATCATTTTATACATAATATATAAATAGGTACTTTTAAAAATATATCATATACGAGAAAGTATTCGTTAAAAGGCAAAGAATCATTATAAATTGGATGGTATTATATGCCGTTATTTAGACAGATGCACTTAATTGTAGTTCTACTTGAAACTTAAAAAAAATCATTATTATAGGTCGTTAACTTGCTACAACTGAATATTAAATTATAAAACGTAAATAGACGAGTAAAATGTACCTTCCTGTAAGGGAGTTTGGTTTAAACAGGTTATCAGACGTGAAATGAGCCCTTTTTGTACCCCATTCGTTTTTTTTTTTTCGGAAAACTAATTTTCAAAGCAAAAACTATAAAGGAAAATAAATTCTTTGCAAATAAAACAAAACTATAAAATAATTTAGAAAAATGATTTTTTAAAAAGAAATAAATGAATACAAACTAATAAAATGTTAAAAATGTATTAATTTAATGATTCTCGGATTACCAATAATGAAAAATAAAAAAGTTAATCCGAATCTAAATTTTAACCATCTGTCGAAAAATCGAGATTTGGATATATAACTGCTGGAGCCATAGAAGGTAAAAGATGATATTCTTCTTCCTTTTAAATGACGTGACTAACGCTGTTTTTCCAAACGTTAGTCAAAGAAAAATCTTTAAAAACGCCATTAATATTTTCCCAAAAATACCCAATTTTTGCAAAACCACATTTGTTAAGGTAGGTACAAAATTATTATGGCTCAGTTTTTGTTAGACCAAACTAATTCATAACCTCAATACAGTATGACCACCTTTTTTTTTTTACAAAATTATCAACACAATAATGTATTGGAATATTTTTACTTTTAACAATTTGTAACAATTGTGGTTTTGTTTTTACGGAAGCAGGAATATCAATGTTATTATCTTTTAAATACTTTATTGAATCTGATTTTTTTGAGCCACTATTTGGCTTTTGTGAATTTGCCGGGAATGATGGCATATTGTCCATTACAATGACTGAATTAGGTGAAATATTCGGTAAAAGTTTTGTGTCGAACCATGTTTCATCTAAATAAACTATATTCCTATTGCTATGTCTAAATTTAAAAATTTTCCTTAAATAAGTTTGACGTAATTCCACAATTTGACGCGATTCCATAATGCACATTTGACTATCTAACTTTTGTCGAAGTGATTCTAATGATTTATATTTGAAATCTCCAAATCTTGTAATTTTCTTAAAAGTAACTTTAAGGTTGGGACTTGGTTTTATTTTATACATGTTGTAAACCGTTCGTTGAATCATATCTTTAGATGCATCATCTATCCCACGGCTGACGACAGGTTTTCTGTTTTTACTGTGTTCAATCACAACGCCTCGTTTAATAACGAAATAAATTGTGAAAAAGGGAATTTTTGTTAACTTACATATTCTTTTAACTGCACCTGTTTGTAAAATATTTGAATTTTTTGATTTTAGACAAGCAAACATATTTAAAATGAATTGTTGAACTTGAATATGTAAGTCCTGGTTTTTGAATTCTCAAGATTGTGTTTAACCTTGATTGTCATTAGTATGAATTGCATTAATAATACGTATTTCATCAATAATTTGTACTTTATCATTATTGTAAATTTCATTATTTATTGAAATTTCATTACTAATGCGAATATCATCATTAACCTGCAGTTCATTAGCATCTTTATTTACCATAAAATGTCTCCAAAAAACCATCTCGTACAGTAGAAATCAAAATTTAACAGAAACATCGAAAAATAAAAACAAGTTTAAGAAACGCTTTGAGAAAATTTTTCAGACCGTGCACACTACTGAACTTGTGTATTGTGTATTGTGTATTGTAGGTGTATTGATGTTTTAAACTTAAGTGAGCCAATGGCTATACTAAGACGGTTCGCGCTTATTTGCAATGTGAGTGTATAGAATTCGTAACATTCTCAGCGCTTATAACGCGAATTATTACGCACACCCAGTATAAATGCCTATATTGGATTGAATCTAGAAACACTATATGTGAAATATCAGAAGGTATGAAAATATTTTAAAATTAAATACGCAAACTTTGTTTTATTCTTTTTCTAAATCGATTTTGTGGCAATCTTCTAATTTCTACGGCAAAGATTTCTTCGGCTTGTTCTATCTCAGTCAGTGTATATCCCTTTGAATATTAATTTATTGTACTCGGTTATCGATTTTAATTTTATATATTTCTTAGTTTTTCTTTTTTCCAATTGTGTATATTTTTTATGTGATTGCTGTTCATATACTTATGAAGGTTAATTTAAGTTATTAGTAGTTTAATGCATAGAATATAAATACGTTAGAAAACCTTTTGATAACGAAATTAAATATACCCCAAGAGCATGTAAAAACATTGTACTTTACCAAATGGCATCTGCGCCAATCCCAATCCTGAGCAAAGTAAATCAAAAAATTATTTTATATTAAAAAAATCACATAAAGCATGACAGCGCTAATTTTGTTTATCGATATACATATATGAAGATATATTTGAATATATAACGATAAATGGAAACATTTTCTTCCTTTTAACACTGCACAAAAACATCTATCCACGACTAGTAGGTAAAAATCATTAAAAATATTAATCAATTTTTGATCATTTAAAAATTTTTTTCTACACCCGTATTATAATAATGCACTTATATGCCCATAATCCGTTTCATAATGATACCCATTATGATACAGATTTTTCATTACGATACAGATTTTTAATCAATAGAAACCTACAATTTTTCAATCAAGCATGCTGTTTGACGTTTGTCCTAGGTTCCTATGTAATTATTTTAGTTGTCAAAACGTATTAAATTTTCGTAGGTAGCTAAACTTCGATAATTATAATATTAAAATGTCTGATATTAGCGATATAGAAGACTCCTCCACACATATCGGAGAAAGCAGAAAATACAGTACAAAATATTTTACCGCAAAAATCTAGGGAAATACCAATACCTGAAGTAATACCATTAATTACAATTTTGTAGAATTTTTTATAGAAATACGAGTAATTACTGTTATTGTGCTCAATACCAATATAAATATAATATTTATAGGTCTTGATTATTTATCGGGTGTAGAAAAAATAGCGTATGCAACTCTCATGTAATGGTTATTAAAACACTCGCATAAACCATACGAAACTCGCCTTTGGCTCGTTTCATATCCCGGTTAATGCTCGTGTATTAATAACCATCATTACATGATCGTTGCATAATATACTATTTTGTATGCCTATTGTTGTGATTCATTGTGATTTCATTTTTAACAAGAGTTTATAATTATTATTGACTAACAATATCTGCAAATGACTTATACATTCTTCTTCCTTTCACATACAAACAGAGTTAAAAAGGTAGGTAAAAATATTAATAATTCAGGTTTAAAAGCTGGTTCACAATGAATAAGGATTCTAATTTTCAGGGAAAACACAATTGTCACTGTCATATCTTATGTGATTTTTTGAATATAAAATAATTTTTTTACCACTTTACTCAGGATAGGGATTGGCACAGGTGCAATTTGTTAAAGTACAATATTGTTACATGCCTTTGAAGCTTATTTCATTTCATTAATAGTCTTCTGCACATCCTTAATTTGTATCCCTGGAGTAGATGTTATTTTGGAACTTCCAATTGGTCCGAGTGAGCTAACTGATTCTTTACTCATAAACTCTGTCGAAGTGGTTGTCTAAATTGTGGACGTAGTTTCTGATAATGACTTTGCTACATTTTCGTCTGGCCACTTTCTATTTATTTCGAATTGTATGAATGTATGTAAGAAAAAGATTTTGCCTCTAGCAATTAGATGCATTTTGAACAATACATCAAATTTTTTCACTATCCATTATGCGCTTTTAATAGATTTTAAATTTTATAGACCAAGCCGTATGTGGATCCTGCTGGGCTTTTGGAACTATTGGCGCCTTAGAAGGATCACTATTCCTTAAGAATGGTGGCAATCTAGTACGACTTTCTGAGCAAGCTCTACTGGACTGTTCTTGGGGGTAAGTAGTTCTTTTAGTAAATTAAGTTAAAATAAAAAGAAAAATTATAATTGCATAGATTTGAACAAATTTGAAATGTTTATTTTGCAGATATGGTAACAATGGATGTGATGGCGGAGAAGATTTTAGATCTTACCAATGGATATTAAAACATGGTGGTGTTCCAACTGACGCCGATTACGGAAATTATTTGGGAGAAGTAAGTATTCTAATTGTTACTTTACATTGTGATTTTCAATACAGCATTAAAAAGAGTGTTTCATATGAACTGACCAATTCTCTAGGGTTAATATTACGTCCAAAATAATATCAGTTTTCTTATAATAAACATCAGGGTTACCATTGTTACTATCCATTTGCAATATGATTTACTTAGGGCCAGTTCTTAGTTTTTTTTTTGTACATTTGTGTGGTTATCTTTTTCTTGTAGGTTCATACGTTGAGTACGGGAATGAACAAAAAAATTCATGTTAAAGGACGGAAAATTGTTTCGAGTTATATTCCTCGGATAAAGCAAAATTTATATATTTCATGTTTCAACTAAAATTTTTTAAAGTTTTTAGCAATTATATTATTTTTTTCGTGGCCTAACGTTAATGCCTCCCCACAAAATGTGTCTCTTATTTTTTTATTTACTATAGACGGCTAAGAGCGGCTATGAAAACTTGCTAATTTTCTGACTGTGGCATCATATTGATGTCTCGTCGTCTCAAAAAGGACAAGCAGTGAGGCATCCGTTAAATGATAGACAGTACTCAACTTGTTAAGAAACTCCTTTGGCTTATACTTTTTATAAATTTTGCCATTAGTATTCAATGTAGCTATTCTAATGTTTTATTGCTACCTCTCTTCAGTTTTGATGTTTTGTTTTTTTTATTTGAAAAATTGTTTATTAATTGCTCTTTATTAAATCTAGCCATTAATATTGATAGAATATCATTACTTGTACCTTTTCAGCTTGGTTAAGCTTGCAGACTAAGAGCTAGCGGCCGCAAGGTGGTGCGATCATATCTGCGCCTGGAATTTTGTGAAGTGTAATCTGCAAGGATTTAGTTTAAAACCCCTGCAAACCAAATGTCAGACAACTCAAAGTTGCAAAAAATATTGCCTAAAAACATTACAACACACATTTGATAGATAACTCACTTGACATGCCTCGAAAAATATAACACGATTTGAAAAATCGTTTTAAAAAAAAAAAATATTTTTTATTTAAACAGAGTTATAATTATGTCTTTATTTAATGAAAGCTAACATCAGACTAAAAAATGTAAAAAATAATCATTGTTAACACATGTATGCTGATAAAAGAAACTTGAGCTGCCGGCTGGTGGGATTCTTAGAATTTCTGGGCATCTCGGCAGTTTCTGTGATATAATTCCTCCCTTCCCAGAGAGATCCATACAGGGTGTGGGTCGTTATTCGTCTTCTTCGGTATTGATATTGAAAGTGGCTTGTTGGGTGGCAGGTATTATCAATTTTTGATTTCTGGACGTCGATTGCCTAATCTTGAAAAACATGATGATGAGGGCAACAACACCCAATGTCCACAGTGGCGTATACCACAGATGGGTATTGTTTGAAGGGGGTTGAAGACTTATTTGACGAATTCGATTTTGTTCCTTCTGCAATAGGTGGATCTTGTCGAGGGGTATTTCATTAATATCGATTTTTCTGAAATGATTTTGACTGACTTTATTTATCTTAATTTCGGGTAGAAGTAAAGGCTGTCCATGAATAACGTCGATGCTATTTGAGTATCTGTTCTTCGGGGTTTGGAAACTGCAACCCTTTGGTACTTCCATAAAATAGGTACCTTTTAAAACTGCGAGATCTGACTTTGCACAGCTGATTTGGATCTTGGTTTCTCGAGGAAATACTGCAATATAGTGGGCAGAATTGATTGGTTCGATTACCTCAGAACTGATTTGGATTGGAGTAAGTTGACATGCAGGAGAGTCTTGATTATTCAATTGTAATATTTGGTGGATACAATCATCTGCATTAGCTTTGGCAATAGATTTCATGTTTGTGCAAAAATATAATGAGTTCAGATTTTTGCATTCTTCGTCCTCGTACTCATAGTTATTTCCTTGTATTGCCAGAAAAGATTTGGAGGGGATAAGGATAGAGTTATTTTGGGTAGGTATTGAATAGATGTGAAAGTAAGAATATATTTCTGGATAGGTTACAGGAAAGTGAATAACAAATACTATCCGATTGTTAGAATAATAAGAGTCTACTGTAATAACTTCATAATATTTATAAAAATTTTGTGGATCGGCACCGAACAATAAGTTACTTTCTGAATATGACTTTAATAGCAATTTTATGATAAATTCTAAATCTTCTATTTTTAAAATGCTATAGTGAACTGTTTTTAATCTCGCAAATATTATTGAGTTTTCTAAATTATTTAAGATTTCATTTAAAATTTTGAGAACTGCATGTACCTGGTCTAAGGCGTTTATTGCTAAAAAATATCCGGAAAAGTCGTTTACGAATTTTTCTAGTTCGTTATTAAGATCATTAATTTTTTGAGCCATTTGTATTTCGTTTTGCTTTATTAAAGATAGACTTTTGTTGTAATCATCGATTATTTTAGTAGTTAGGGATATCTGTTTATTTAGTGTATTTGCTATATCTTTTTGATTTGAATTTAGTAAGACAATAGCGTCGTCGTATCTTTTGCCGTCTTCGGCGTCTAGGTTTCCCGAAATACTTTTAAATATTGTACCTAGACCGTTTAAGATTCCTCTTTTAAGTCTCTTATTAGAATGAAGGTAATTTAATTTTTCTTTGCATTGTTTTATTTCAAAGGAGATTGAATTTATGTTATTTTTAAGTTCGGATGTGAATACCGCATTTTTATTTTCAATTGTTAAAATTATATTTTCGAATTGATTATTTATTTTAACAAGTTCGGTTTCGATAGGGTCTAAATCAAAATAATGGATAAAAGAATGGTATGTGGATTGTAATTTAGCATATCCTAATTTATAGGGTAATATTCCAGGGTTGGATTCCAGACTCGTGATTCTAATTTCTTGGGCTGCGATAATCGTAGCCATGATGAGGAGAATGCTGTAATAGTACATTTTTTGATTAGATAAAATTTTTTTTAAATTATTTTTATAAAGTGTAAGAAAAACTTTTTCAAATGAATTCGGATCTTTTTGTTTTTTTATTCTATTTATTTTTACTTTGGGACGCTCTTTCTTTTTAAGATGACGACAACCGAATTGTAGACCATCTTTTTTGCGTGCTACAGATTTGTGGTACGCGAGGGTGACAGGATCATACGTTAAAGGGTTGTGAAGGGCTTCATTAGTTTTTTCTAATTTTTTACCATTTTGTTTAGTTATAAGTTCATTATGTCTTTTATAAATTCCGATAGTCATTTCTTTGTGATCTATCTTAATTAGATCATTAATTTCATGTTTGTCGCAATTATCTATAATGGATTCATTAGTAAAGTTATAGCTTTCAAAATTATTCTCAACTGCAATACATTTAATTGGGTATAATACAGTAGAATTTATTTCTTCGTTCGAATTATTATAAATTTCGTCAGTTGCCCAACCGTTCATTGAAAATGTTAATGTACTCGGTATTGTACAATTACCGCTAGTTTGCTCTGGCACTAATATTTCTCTGGATTCAATAGTAACGGGGATTTTTATCCGCGAAATAGAATTTCCAGGCAATAGTTTCGGTTTTATTTCTATTGGCATTGAATTAAAGTAATTAATTGGCAAAGAAATATTATTATTTGAAATTATTTGAGCATTTGGCAAATCAATATGAATATTCAATGAATTTAATAAATCTATTCCTAATAGTCCATCAAATATGCAATTAAATTTATATACAAAAAATTTTATATTCTGTTTTGTTTGGAATTCTGGGAATGCCGGAATGGTTACTGAAAAGTTATGATTGGAAGAGCTAAAAGCAGTTGAAATAATAAATGGTTCCTTTATTTTAATTTTTGAAAAGTATTTATCAACAGCTTCTGGAGATAAAAATGATCGAGTTGCCCCGGTGTCTAATAAAAGTTTTAATGGTGGGTTATTTATTTCAATATAAGGTAATTGTCCTTTATCAAGTGAATTATAAAATTCTATCATGGTTTCGGATTTGGGAGGCTGAGCTCCTGAAAATTTTGGTAATTATCGCCAGAAGGAGAGTCTACAATTTCGTATTCGCAATTGCTGCTCACAAAATCGATTGAATTATCTGCCAAATCACAATGTTCGACATTATTTAATTCTTCAGATACCCATCTACGATTTTGGGGTAATTGATTTCTGGAATTGCCAGAAATTTGACGGGAAGTCGTACTCATTGGAGTAGGCATAGGTGAATTATTTTCATTAAAATTAGGATTTGGTTCCCAAACGTTTTGTTGAGGTCCAAAGACCTGTCGGTTTGTGAAAAATCTTTGATTAGCTACTGGTCTAGGTTGAATGTTTACAGGACCAGTAGGAAACGAACCTCTATAATTACTATTGTTATTATTTCTATAATAGCTAGTGCTAGGTTGATTAAAATTTGTTTGTTGGTTATTATTAAAATTTTGATTTCTGTTAACAAACTGATTGTTATTGTTTAGGCGATAGTTTTGAATAGTTTTATTAGAGTTATTCTGTCTATGTTGGTAGTTGGGGCTTTTTATTGAAATTTGAGAGTTATTTGAATGCGCATTTTGTAAATATTTAATATTATCCTCTTTTCTTATAAAATTAATTGCTTCGAGCAGTGTTTTGGGATCTTTGGTACGAACCATGATACCATAAGGATTTCTTAACCCAGCTAAAAATACTTGAAGAGCTTGTTCGTTATATGATTTCTGTTTAAATTTTCTTATATCTAAGTTGAGTTCATGCAAACCGAGGTAGTTTGAAATAGTGTTTAATAATTTCCTGACCTTTTCATAAAATTCATATGGGCTCTCGTTAGGAGCTTGCCTTAAATTATTTAAATCCAACAATAAGCAACTTTCATTTCGGGGATCACTAAAATTCATAATCAACTCTTCCTTAATTTCTTTTATTTTAGTGGCTCCACTAATATTAATTACTTCGCGAGCGGGTCCATGCAATTTACTTATAATCGTTCTAAATATTATAACATTTTGATAATTTCCAATATTTACGTTATCATAAAAATGGGTAACTATGCTGTCAATACTTTCTA